AAGTTCTTCAAATACCTATAGAATGATAGGTTTCTTTTTTGTGAGTGTAAAACATTTAAAAACTCCAAATATTATATCCATCTTTAATTAGCTGACCTTGGTCGGTAAACATTCCTTCTCTCTTCATAACACACATTTATATAACAGTTTTTTTCTCTTTGTTTATATTCTGCCAGTATTTCTGTCTGGTGATATGCATGTAAAATCTATCTATCGTTTAGAATTATGGCCGAAAACGTGGCTAACAGTAATGGTACTTAACTAATCAATCAATGCATTATAATCATTATAAGTTGTTCTTTTTATGACACTTTATACTTCTGTATAAGTAGACCGGTATATTAATTTAGCTATATTAAATACTTTGTTAATTTTTAGGTCTGGTTTATATATGTAGCTTGCTTGGATCAAAAATTATTAATAATAATTATTGATAAAAAGTTCAACATTATCAACATCCTTTCTTGTGTTCTTATGTCTTACGTTTTGGTCATTAGGTTAAGACTAAGAAAACCGATTTTTTTTGGTTTTATAAAACTTTGGAACGAAACAGATGTCACAGTGTTACATTCATGCTTTCTTTGTTTAACAAAGTTTAAATATTTTATAAACATGGGCATAGTGAATGCTCAGATAATACGCTAAAAATAACATATTATACTTTTGTATTATATATATATATATATAAATAAGGAAATTCTTATTCTGTTCCTAGTCATCATTGTGTCATATTACACGTTCCTCGTGTGAATACGTTGACACTATACACATTAGTTCAGCTGTTTCAGAATTTAGATTAACAATGTTTAATACGTGAGTTAAAATAGACCACATGTGTTTAATACGTGAGTTAAAATAGACCACATGTCCATATTTACCCGCCTGTTATGAACTGAAAGACTCACTCATAAAAGAGCTAAATATACTCAAGTGACGTTTATTTGTGGGAAAAACAATCAGGATAACAAATTTTTTTGTTGACTTTCAAAATTTATAGTGCCTACTGGAGGGATTTACACATTTGGATAAAAAAGGTTATGAAAATTGATCGTTATTCTCCAGATATTTATCCAGTTGTACATATATATATATATATAACCCAATATATTAACCCTGATGACGCCGCAAAGGCGAAATGTTGGTTAAAATATTAAAAAAAATATTTTATATATGTATATATAGCTGGAGTATAGATGTCGTTCTTCTTATGTAAAACATTTTATCAGAATAACAGATACAGGAACGCAGCAACAAAACTTGAAATTATATATTAGATATTGTTTAAATTTGTAATGTAATAGACTTCACCTTAAGGCTTAAGAGAGTACTTTCTTACCATATGTTAGTATACTTACCACCTTAGGCTGAACGTCAGGCATCAGCAACGGGAGCTTTATTTCAGCAGAAACTGGACGTAACATACAATTTAGGCTCAACCACAAAACCCAAAATATCATGACTGAATAGCATTTCCTTCGTCTTGATGAGGAAGCCATTTTAGTTGATCTTGTACGTCGTCAATATGACAAAAGAAGTCGCTGCTAAAACGTGGGATGAAATTATATCGATTTTCGTACAAGTATTACGTTTTTGATGTATGTTGCTAGGCTACCAACCACCATTAGCTCTACGTGTTTGACGCAAAGTATCTCCTAGTCCGAGCGAAACAGCGCACAAAATATTTACCTGCAAAGGAACAGATTATTTGGTTGGTTGAACTGAACCACTGCGTACTCTTAAACATCCCGAGTCCACACACAACGTCTATGTCTGACGTCACGAGGTTCCTGAAGGGGAATTCACCTGTCAGTAAGAATTAGACATTGGCCACTGTGCGCTCAGAAATCTCGGTTAGTATAACATTCAAGATAACCTACAACATATGAATTATATATATATATATATATATATATCATGCTTCACAAAAACAACTCTATATATGTGAATCTTTATCTGGGTTCTGAGGATGTGTATTTCTTCTTTTCCTGTTTCTCTGTTATCAAGCTTCCTTCCTTAGTGTTCTATACAATTCCCGCGTCTTTCTCTTTCTTTTTACATGTCATTTTACATCTTGTACACTTCTTAAGTTTTTGTAATGAAATCGTCTTTTTTGCCTCAACTGGTTTATTTTTCTTATTTTTTTTTGCATCGTTTCATTTCTTTTGTATTTTTTTGTATATATTTTACATATAAATTCGTTCAAGAAACACTGTACACCAATAAATTGTCAGAATAAAAATTAAAAACAAAAACGTTATTTTATATTTCAGAATAAAAAAAATATCAATTCGTTCAAGAGACACAGTATGTCAATGAATGCCACAAAGTGGCTCAGATGTATATCTGAAGGCTTATAACGCTAAAATCCGGTTTTCGATACCCGTGGTGGACACAGCACAGATAATTAAGCCTGTAGCCTTGTACTTAACAACAAACAAGCAAAATGCCGAAGAATCGTTAGAGCGCCCGCCAGTGGCACAGCGATTTGTCTGCGGACTTACAACGCTAGAATCCGGGTTTCGATACCCGTGGTGGGCAGAGCACAGATAGCCCATTGTTTAGCTTTGTGCTTAACTTCAAACAAACAAACAAATCGTTATAGAAAAAAATAAAAATGAGAACATTGTTTTATATCTAAAAAAAAACAAAAACGAATATAACATTTTTACAAATCTGCAAATATAACTTGCAAACAAACTTATACGCCCCCCCCCCCACGTGGCACAGCAGTATGTCTGCAGACTTACAACGCTAGAATCCGGGTTTTGATACCTGTGGTGGGCAGAGCACAGATAGCCCATTGTGTAGCTTTGTGCATAATTAAAAACAAACAAACAAACAAACTTATACGCCCCCCCCCCCAGTGGCACAGCAGTATGTCTGCAGACTTACAACGCTAGAATCCGGGTTTTGATACCTGTGGTGGGCAG